AAGATACCTGCTCTCTGATAGAAAAAAAAACCAAACTAGCTACCCGAAACACCTTCCTCTCCTTCGATCAGAACTTGAAGTGCTATTCATACCATTCACGAAAATCACAATAAGCACTTGATGGTGCAAAGTTGCCCTTACGTGTTCGCTTGTTCACCTCGCAAGATTTCAAGCTCAAGACCCCGTGTCGGACGTCAAAGTGTTAAGAAGGTACTGACAAGGGAGTCTTTCAGGGTAAGCCGCGCTTTTTCAAAACGGTTTCTTGCATATTGCAGAACCCCATGTAGAGAGCACAAAACCATGTTTCATTTTCGCTGAACAATTTTAGCAGTAATAAGTAATGTGGGATTTATTACACATTCAGATCAAAATGAGACTTCGGGACAGAACAATTCTGAAATTTTAGCAGTACTAAAAAACGAGTCCAAGGTACCGCCAATGGTTCGATCCCCGTGGCGACTAAATTTTGCATTTGGGTTGGCGCCTACGGTTGGTGCCAAATCGCGCTAAATGTCAAAATCAGATGTCATATTCATCGTCAGGACCATTTTGAAGCCAACAAGTGGCCGCCAACCTTGATTGCAAAATTTAGTCGCCGCGGGGGATCGAACCATCAGAGTAACATTCACCACTTTTTTGGTACTACTAAAACCGTTCAGCGAAAATGAAACATGGTGTACAAGCGTTCCTACAATATGCGGGGAACCATTCCGGAAAAGCGCGGACGCTTGCCCTTAAAAACCCTCCTCGTGAGTGACACTCATCGTATAGGAACAACTTCAAGTTGGGAGTGCTAAAATACCGTTGTTTTCACAAAGTAAATACCGGCATAGGGGCGGAAGTGGTGTAGTGGCAAGTGGCACGCTCACCACGCGAGCGGTCCGGGGATCAAATCCTGGGTCGTGAGTCGCCCGGGCCAACCAAGCCTTCCATCCCTCCGGGGTCGGTTAATTGGTACCAGACTTGTCTGGGAGGATAAAAAACACTGACTTGTACATCGGCTGGCCCCCGCAAGTCATTGTATAGGCCACATCGCATTCAAACGCCACTACGAATGTACAAATGGAAGTAGAATGCGTGCCGCATCCCAAAAAGGGATTGATCAACGGCAAATGCTTTATCCTTATCCTTTAATTACCAGCACTGACCAAATTATAAGGAGCATCAACGCATTCTCCCCTCGAAATGCTCACCCAAAAACATGTCCCATTGTATTGGAAATTTGGACAGGAAACAAATTACTTTAGGAGCTACAAGTTTTGGGGAAAGCAATAGCTGAACAACACATGGACTAATGCGACCCATGGGGAAATGTGGCGCGGTCCTACGCCCGTCTAGGTTTTTTGACGTCACGGAAAATGAAGTTATACGAAAAGAGCTGGAACCATTCTTAAAGCAACAGTTCAGGGAGGGTCCGAAAATTTCAATGCCACTACTACTGAGGGATACACGAGCCCTAGTGAAGAACATATGCAGTGGAAATAATAAACGAACTTACCTCAGAAACTCAAAACAGGGTGGAAAGTCCCTCAAACATGGGTGTTCTTGGGGATTTCCCCAATCCCGCCCCCTTGCCGGCCGTCATTGGACGCGTCGGCAATCGTGCTCGTTTTGGGACCACAGGGAAAATTGATTGAAAAATGGAGCGCGTTTACAGCGGGCACGTTCAGACAACTCGTCCAACGTGCGTCTTTATCCATTGCTGAGCGGCAGAGGGAGAGTACCTGTCTAAGACCCTCCCCGACGTTTTTTTCCAGTTTTTCATACATTAATCGTCTGGTTTTCATCTACAACTTCATTATTGGTGGTTTTTTCCCGCGAAACCGTTCCTGAACTGTTGCTTTAAAGATGTAAAACTTCTTCTATACATGTTATAGTGGCACAAACCTGCGTCTGCACGAGTTTTTCCTGGCGATAGAATGCTGGCTTCTCCTCAATAATAGGTTCAATATCGACACGAAGCTCCTTGATGGATTCCTGAAAAAGTAATCTATGAAGACTGTTTAAGGAGAACTAAGGAGGAAGAAGAGGAAATGTCACCAGAGCAAAGAAAATGAAGGGAGAAAAACGCGAACGGGCGTCCACTCATCGCTTTCATCCGAATTTGAATCGTCATCCATTGGGATAGGTTCAGTCTGTACCGATTTCTCGACGAGTTTCGGTGGCTCAGGCTTTCTCACTTCTTCTTTTCTCAGAATTTCAATCACCTACAAGACATAGCAATTTTGCTTTTGACCCAACACGGCCATTTAGACACTTTATGTGCTTACCTTAGGTTTCTTTACTATAGGATTTTTCTTAACCTCCTCGTCATCCTCATCCTCGTAGTATTCATCATCGTCCTCCTCGGAGTCACGGGAGTCCTCAGATAAAGGCTGAACGAATAACAATTTATTGAAGGCAGCGATTTCGATACGTTCGAGAAGAGTTTAGAAGAGACGTAGTGATGCTCAGTGGTACGTCGGTGGCGAAAAAGGCGAAAGTCCGTCAAAAACCACAAAATGGGACCCGTTTTTTGGCCGTTGGTTTTCACTCATGAACCGAGGATAGCTCAAAAAGGGGCGTATAAACGAGTTCAGCGCAACGCGTTTGGTAACACCATGCCAAATCACACTCCATCGAGTTGCTCCAGTTGTGCCGCTGCTGGCAACGCTGCTCGTCCAAATCACCAACTAAACTAGTGGGCGGATCGCTTTTGGGGCGGAGTGCTTTCGAAGTCCTGCTCAGCAACCAGCGAACCTTCCGTCGTGAAAGCGCTACACCTCGCTTCCTTGGCAGCCAAGTAACTGATTCGTGGTGCATATGCTTCCCCGATGCGCTCCCTCTTTATCGTAATCGCTGCCTTTAAAAATAACTTCGCATAAAATACATTATACGATAGGAATACCTAATATTTCCCCGTCCATAGCCTTTTTTACTATGAATAATATGCTTGAACTTATAGAAAACTAGTAGCTTGTATTGATTCCTGATCTCGAGAAAATATCGTGAAAAATCACCTTAGCTGCTCCTGTCTTCTGTGTAGTTGTGGTGGTAGAAAGTAGAAGTTGTTGGAGGGGCCTTTACATCTAGCTTAGCATTTGGATGAAGCTTCTCATAGGCTTCCTTAAGTAGGTTACATTGTTCGTTTCATTGGAGTGTTGCTGATTTGCTGCTGTGTTCTACTTAACTCTACTTACCTTGTACAGATCAACCAATTTCTTGTTCTTTGCGTCACTGTCGAGCGAATTGAGGGCATCAATAGCGCTATCAGAGAGTTCAGGCGTGTTCTCACGACGGAAGTCAGACCAATATGCCACTGAAAAAGTTACGCTTCTATGAATATTCGGATAAATGAGTTGGTGAAAAGTCAAATCCTATTTCTTGTTTGTAAGCATGATCAATAACGTACGGTATGCGCTACGCACTTCATGACCAATCGAAATTGTAGAAACATAAGAAGCGGTTCGTCACATGAGTTGCCACATGCTGGTGGACAGGGCGAATAACGGTCGAGGAACTTCTCGACCGTGTCTCTGTACTGTGCGAGAGTAGTGCCGAGAATGAACATGCGCGCGGAGAGCACAGACGTCTCGCGCATGGCGAGTGTGAATGTCCGCGGGGGAGAACGTAAGGATCAGGCGAAAATCACTGAGAACCCTCGACCGATATTCATTTTGTTAGGCCGATGTCATAGTTTGCGAATCGCTCGATCCGAGCGTTGCGCCAGCGAATCGAACGTTGCACCAGCGAATCGAACTTTGCACCAGCGAGTCGAACTAGGTACCAGCGACTCAATAGTGGCGGGACCCAACGTTCAAAGGAAGCCCGCCACTTTCAAACAGTGTCCACTGTCAAGTCCCGCCACTTTCAAAAAGGGTCCACTGTCACGTGACACTGTTTGAAAGTGGCGGGCTTCCTTTAACGTGGGTCCCGCCACTATTGAGTCGCTGGTACCTAGTTCGACTCGCTGGTACATCGTTCGATTCGCTGGTGCAACGTTCGATTCGCTGGCGCAACGCTCGGATCGAGCGATTCGCTAGCGAATCGCTCGATTCGCAAACTATGACATCGGCCTAGCAAAGTGATTGTTGTTCTCCCCACGAGCGTTGTGCAACAAAACCGATTTTCAGAAAAATAGGCAGTACGAGTTGGTTGTAATCGTAAATACCCCTTCACCGACCCGCGGCGATGAGCAGGCCTCTTGAACTCTACTACAACTATTCAAGAAGATTCCTGAAAGCGATACAACATCTCCGCTCCCCGCCCGTGTGAGGTCCATCAATTACCACCCTCTTCTGTTGAGTGACCGTAGGAAATAGTACTACAATTACAGAACTTGTCCGCAGGCAGAAATAAGATTGGGAGGAATCGGAAATAGGGACGCAAAGACTAAGCGCTGGGAACCGGAAATAGGAATAGCGCTCGTCCTTCGTTTACATACTATCAAGCTCCCATCAGATGTGTCATTACTATACGACTAGGCTTAGTCAAGTTCCCATCATTCCAGGTTACCACAGACCGTCCAAACAACTCGATTTGAAGTTGACTACGAAGCGCATGTCTCTACGCCTTCGTCGTAGTAGCATGACTTTTCGTGCACAGCAAATGAATTGCAATTCGCTGCACCGGACTCATAGTGTCATCAAGCTATGCTATCCTTTACAGACCTTTAAACACACTCTAGAAAGTAGCTTCCCTTAGGCTGATTTACAAGCTGTTAGCACCCCATCGAAGAGTACTGTGCAATCAAAGTGTTCAGAAACGTGGACCATAACGCTCTTAGTAACTATTAACAATCATTAACTGAGCCAAGACCCTTGTTGTACTTATTTCACCCCGGACGTCAACTGGATCAGGTATTCAAAAGAGAAGTGATAAGGTGATAGGGAAGATTGGGAAGCTCCCAGGCAATCATCCACTGATTGACGCAGGGGGCGGCCAACGCGCCTTCGATGGTTACATCCCAAAATCGGTCAAGGAAACAGCAACGACTCGTCGAGGTTTTGGCCTTTTCAGTCACGCTCTCCCGCGCGGATATTCACTCTCGCCACCCGCGAGCCGTCTGTGCTCTCCGCGCGTACATTCACTCTCGGCACTACTCTCGCACAGTAGAGAGCCATGGTCGAGGAATTCCTCGACCGTTATTCACCCTGCTCTACCCCAATCAGCCCACACCTGATCGCTAGATTTATCTTATGAGGCCCGTTGAAGCCGAGAGCAAAGAAAAAATTTCAAATTGGTTACCATACCTGCAATTGGACGTACTTGACTCTTCGAGGTCTGGGAAGTCGCGCAGCATTGCTAGGGTGCCGTTGATACGCAGATCTATGTATCTGAAATGTTCCGAAACTATTAATGTGCCCTCTCCTTAATCTTACCCGAGAAAAATTTACGGTCACCGTACCGAAGTCTGTGCAGCACCGTCGGCTTGAATGCTGCAGCTTCGGCTTGATCGACGCGCAGGAGATGACGGTATCGATTGATGGTGTGAATGCGGTCCTTCTCTTCCGAACGGATGTAGGTCTATGAGAAAATTCATGTGAAACTGATTTAGTAATGTAAATGATAGAATATCGATTAGCTGTTAAAGAAGTAACGATTTATTATTCTCAATTCAAAAAAAAACCTTGAGCGTTTTCAGCACATGATGTTTGTTTGCCGATTTGTCATGCATAGCGAGTGCTTGGCGATATTCATGAGTGGCCTGAAATAACACGATGTATCACAAATCCAATCTCGCAATTTGTATACTGGACTAACAGTTCGCTTCTTCTCGTTGAGAATAGCTTGAACACGTTCTTCATGGGTGGTCTCGAGTTGTTTCTTGAGGCGCTTGTGCTCATCCTCCAACGAAGCAACGGTCTGCAATGAAGGCAAATGGCAGTATGACTTGGAAAAATGTTTAAAAAATACTCAAAGAAGAGAGCGTTTGCAAGCATTCCTAAGAATTT